AATTTTCTTTTAGATGGGTAAAGCAATTACAAAAGAACAGAAGCCTCAACAATAAAAGGAAATTTACTTTTACCAGTTGGATGAGGAGGAAAAAAAATTAAAATTCGATAATTCAGGGTAGTACTAGCTAGTATTGAATTCAAATCATCTCTCTCTCTCTCTCTTCTTTTCTTTTCTTTTTCTCTTTGAATTTAATTGGTTGTAAAATTATTTGTGTTAACATTGATAATCCTATGAATAAGACTGAATTAGTTTCTTCCAATCAAACAATGGATTAGGGATATAGGGAGACATGTCTTCACAACAAGTTTTTTTAGTCCCAATGTAATCATTTTCCTTGATCCAGCAATCAATCAGTCCTAATTACTTGCTAATGTGATACCTAATTCACTACAAGAAATAAGGGTTTCTGCGACGTTTTTTTAACGGCGTTTTCTTAAACATCATTTTTATTAACATTTATGGACGTTTTAAAAACATCACATGTTTAGTTAATTAAAACGACACCGTTTTATGATCAAAGGCGTTTAAAAACGCGTCCAAATGCGGTATATCACACGCACTTATTTTGAATCTGACAGTAAAGCCATTGTAAACCCTCAGTCTTCAGACATAAACATTGAATCCTCACGTCACCTCTCTCTCAATCCTCTCTAAACCCTTATCCTCACGTTGCCTCTCTCTTAATCCTCTCTAAACCCTTATTTTGAATCTTACATTCAAATCTCACAGATTCACCGATTTTGAAGCTCCACCTCGACCACCATCTGTACCGGCGAGGTAGTGAGATTCACTGATTCACCGATTTCACAGATTCATCGATTCAAATCTCACAGATTCACTGATTTGAGATCGATCTGCACCGCCACCGCGATTTCGATTCAGATCGGTCTGCACTGTCACGCCGATTTTGATTCTCTCTCTAAATCTCTCTCTCAGAGATTCATCTTTGATTTCATCTCAGAGCGATTTCGATTTCTCTCTCTCTCGATTTCAAAGCTCCACCGTCACCACCATCTATGCAAGCTTCCATTGCTTAGCACCTCATCTCCTTATCTCTTCCACTTTGTATATACATATACATATATGTATATTTATCAATTCTCTCATGTACATACACATATTTGTATAGACACCGATCGATAATGGAGCAGAACTTCTTCGATTTGATCTATTCTCTATACTGCCCAGGCCTTACCGAGACATTCCTCGACGTTTTGCTCTCCTCAGTCCTGATTTGGCTCGCTGTCATGATCGGCCTTGTTATCAGCTGGTCCTAGCACCCTAGGTGGGCCAGTCTGCTCTATCTCGGTCTAGGCTCCAAGCTCCAGTTCGCCTGGACCACGCCACCGAGATTCAGGGCTCGAGGTTCTGGCTCACCTTCACAGCATTTTCGGTTGGTTGGAGACTTTGGTCCAGGTTTATTTGGAAGGGAAAGACAGTTCTTCGATGGCGGCGGCACAGCTGGTTGAAAGTGGCGGTGACGTCAAGTGAGAACGGTTTTGAAATTTGGTTTTTCATTTATTTAATTGTTTATTAATGACTTTATTTATATATGCATATGTATTTGTGTATCTGTTATGAGAATTAATTTAGGGTTTTTGATTTAAGGCTTCTTGGTGATTGTATGCAATTTGATGTCTTGAATTGATTGGGGACTGTGCTCTGAAACCTTATTTGTTAATAATGCAACTAAATCTATGATAATTATGTGATTAGGGCTTTTATGTTTCTAAACTTGGCATGAATTTATTTGTAAAGTATGTAGGGAATAGTGTGGTCTATGGTGTGTGGCCGTTATACGCGGTTATGTCGTTGAAATAGTTGGAATTTTTGGATAATGTGTGTCGGTTTGTGGCATCCGTAGTTAAGGTAACAATTTTGTCGTGGCGTTACTGGCTTCGTAGTATGCCCTTGGATTTTCTGTTTTATGTATAGAACAATGTAGTTGACGTATTGATTTATGATTGTGTTGCTGACATTCGTCATTGGTTATGTTGGTAGTTGATATCGTGGTCCACTTAACGTGTTGTAATACCAGCGCTAGATGAGTCATAGAGTTTGCTAATTTTACTTTCTATTGGTTAATATATTTTGGGAAAATTTTCTTTTTTGCAGTCGGTGTTTTGTGTGTCTTTTCGAGTTCTTGGCAGCCCTTCACTTGATAGGTTTATGTGTACGGTTATTTTACTAATCTAGTGGCGGTATGCCACTGACAATGAGGTTACTCCATTTATAACGATATGGTATCTTTGAAAATCCAAACATGTGGAATGACACTTGGAATTATTTAAAAATAAAAAATAAAAAATAAAAATAAAAAATTGAGGACTAATCTACTAGAAGGAAATTGCCAATTATCGCATCTTGGTTGTGTTTGAAAATTTAAACTATATTGAACCACAAAGTGGAGGGTCACTTCGTTATGTTGTGGTTGCAAAGTTTCGAAAGTGTCTCTAAGTCATGTTTTCTCACTAATTAGTATTGACAGAAACAGATGGTTGTGGCACCTAACTTAATCTTTATGAAGTCTAGTCAGGGATATATAAAAACATTGACTTTGTGGTTTAGGGAGATTGAGGTTGTCTATATTTGTAAGAAGCTACTGCAAGAACGGTAGAAGACATTTACCTAAGCCTATCATTTTGGGACCTTTCTTAACTTAGATTAGGAAACAGGGGATTGTTGTGTCCTAAGCAAATTATATATATATATATATATTATTTTTTGGATTACCACCAGGTATGTTTATAAACTTTTGAACCTTAACTTATTGGACATGTCACCATATTTTGACTTAACTTTTTTTAGCAGGCCCAGCACAGGAACCTCACAGGTAGCGAATGTTGTGGTAGAGAAAGATCTAGAAAACCTATTGTAACTTATTGAAAACAAGGGTGGAAAAATGGAGTGGCAGAGTATGATGGGACAATCCACCTCAAACTTGACATACCAAGCTTGGCGCCATGATCTTGAGGTACAATTTGACCTTGACTTTGTAAGATGTGTATATTCTGTGTGGCGGAGAAATCTGTGGGAATTACTTACATGGATTTTGACCTGTGTTTGATGCATGTATTGTCTTTCAAGTGCTAGAAAAGTGGGCCCAAGTTTTGGCATTTGCATTGTAGTTTAATTAGAGTTTTTCATTAGTAATAGGGGACATAAATTCTAAAGAAGCAAAATTCTCATATTAAATATGAATTGACTTGGATATGGATATGGGATAACAATCACAATTCATACATGCATCCATTTTGTTTTTCTATGGAAAACTAGTTGGATTACACAGCTTGACTAATTAAACAATAATAGATTCTTTAAAAGCTTTCCGTTGGTTACAGGAATATACTAAGATGAGGGAAAATCCTTAGTTGAGCAGGAAATGTTTATGCTTCAATACAAGAAATATGTATTTTAGTGGCGTATTTTTAACGACGTTTTTTAAAATGTCACTGTTTATAATATTTAATGGCGTTTTATAAACGTCGTATTTTTATTTAATTAAAACGGCACCGTTTTAGAAATAGAAGACGTTTATAAACGCCTCCAAATGAGTTATGTCTCACGCGTCCCCTCCCTCCCTCTTTTCACCCTTATTTTGAAACTCAATTGAGATTCCAAATCTCTCTCTCTCTCTCTCCCTCTCTGCTGTCTAAACCCCATTAATATCTCAGAGCCATTTCGAAATACATCGGTGAAATATTAGCAATTGCAAACAGATTGCTGTCAGTGAATGTGAACCACAACTCTTTTTTGCTCTGCTAGAACTAGAAGCTACATTATCCAAACAGAAGTTTAATGTTGTGTTTATGTATGAGAATGGAAAACATTTAGTTAATTTGTTGAATTTATGTTTGACATATTTCTTGAGCTGGGCATAAAAAAAACTCTAAAAACTTAAAACTGATATATTATTGTGCCTATTTTCTGTTACTTGGGGTTTCACATATTTACAAAAACTTAAAACTCCAACAATATTTATAGAGCACAATATTTACATATTTATATTTGACATATTTGTGCCTGTTTTCTTTCAGTATTGTTTCCACCTAGGCTTATTCACCTGTTTCTGAGCTTTGTATGAACTGTGAACCTGCTAATTTAATTGCTTTAAAATGGAGTTGTGTAAAAAAAAAATTATTAGTTCCTAGAGCCACAGCCTTTGTTTGAGTGTTGATTATGCCGTATTTCTTTCTATATGAGACCATGTGTCATATTTCTCAATGTACTAAAGTAGGAGTGGAACGGTTAAATTGTTTCTGAAGCTCTTCACATGATTTTATAAGTGTTCAAAGTAAAAGACACTTGAAGTCTTTGTTTATAACTAATTTAATGTTGGGTAGCCTGCATATATTTGTAAACAAATTTTTATTTGGTTATTACTGTGCTAACCAAGGTTTCAACCGGAGGCATTTTGTATTGTTCAATGAACCCTTTTTACCAAAAGAAAACAAAAGATCATGTACTTATGTTTCGAATCAACTCCAAAGTCCTGAAATATTTTTGCAACAAAATGATGATGAGGTATATCTAACCAGTTCACATAATACAGAAGACTTTGGAACCTTGCAGTCCAAGCCTAAAATGTTTAAAAATCGATTTTTGGACTTTGTACACCTTGGTTCAGTCCTCAATAATGCTGCTGAATCTTTTTTCAAGAGTGAAATACGGCGGAGATTTTTTGTGACAGCTGTGTTAATTGTAATCAGTCGTGTTAGTTAGATACTGTGTGGTAGTGATATGGTATTTCAAGATGATGCACTGCCTAATGGAACTGAACTAGCTTATTTTGTTCGTGGGCAGGTTGTTAAGATGAGCACATACATATTATTATTTTGGTTTCAGGAAATGTTTATGTTGTTTTTTATAAAGATCAAATCTATTAAACAATTAACATATTTTTTTTTATTTTTGTGGAAGCAACGCTTTCCTAGTGAAGCACCTTGTTGTGATATGTATTTGTTTTCTAATTACTTGTCATCTACAGAAATGCGCAGAAGGTTATAAGAAAGGTTTTGGAATATTTTGCTTTTGCTGCCAAAGTGAGGTACTTTTTTTTTGCTGCTCGAGTTACATCTTTATTTGATTCTCATTTAGGTGTTTACTGTTTCAACATTTGTGAGCAGGTCAGCCCTTCTCAGTTTGAAGCACATGTGGGTTGGGCTTCTTGTCGCAAGCCGTGAGTGTTCTTTTGATATTTTTGGGAGGTGTAGTGAACATGCGGTTTCTGTGACCATTTATACATCATTAGATAACTTTTTTTCTCGTAATTCAGTTACCTACACATCTATACATCAAATGGAGTGTCTCTCTATGAGTTGTCTTTGAAATTGTCACAATTGCGAAAGTTATTTGCCGAGGAAAACGATGATCTTTTTGCTAAATTTTGCAATTCAGTTTTGTCTCTTTCTCTTTTATTTATTTTTTTTCTTTCGTAATCAACATTTGTGAGCTTATATTTTTCTACACATTGATGATGCATGCAGGGGCCATGGTTTCAGCAAATCAGTATTTGGCGCTCAGACAGTTATACTGTGTGACCAGGTATTTCGTTGATATACTAGTTTTTAAGTTTACTAATCAACATTGACATTACAGGTGACACCTTCCCTCTTGGTTGTGCTTTCGACGAATCGATTGTTCATCACAAGGTGTGCTTCTTCAACCCCAAACTTAACAAGAAGTTATTTAATTAATAATTTGACTCTTAACAAACTTGAATAAATACTATTTATGCAGTACTTCGGGTACAATCTGGATTCAAAAAATTCTACTTACAGCACCAAGAATCGAATTTACTCAGAAGGTTGTGGACTAGATAATGTAATGATATCATGGGGGCATGACGATTACATGTATTTGGTATGTGCCTCAGTTTCATCCCTTTAGAAAATATTCAAGTATTTAGTCAAATTTCGATCTTTAATGCTATAAAAACAGGTTGTTAATGTAATTTGGATTTTCATTTTTCAGGTGGCTAAGGAACATGGAACGACTTTGCCTCCAGCTGCATTGTTCATCATCCGATACCACTCTTTTTATCGTAAGCATTTATGCCAAAATATTTTTTTCAAATTCCAAAAATTAGTTTTTAATGAATAACATGCATATCTGGATCATTCATCTTGTAGCATTACACAAGTCATGAGCATACACACATTTGATGAATGTGGATGATGTTGAGAATTTGAAGTGGCTGAAAATTTTCAAGTAACCCCTTTTTTTTAGCATTTTGTTTTTAATTTCATGTGTTATGCCAATATAACTAACAAAGTTTACTGTTTTGCATAAAATTTCTCAAATTTATGCAGCAAATATGACCTCTATAGTAAGAGCAAAGTGTACATTGATGTTGAGAAGGTCAAGCCATACTATCTTTCTCTTATTGAGAAGGTAAGCACTATACTAGTCAGGAAACTAGGTGTGTAGAAACCATTTACAGAACAGTTCACTCACAAGGAGCATCTTATGAGTTCCGTGACTAGTTTCTATGCACATCTATTTTTCGAATTTTTTCTTTTTTTATCTTGATTTTTCGCATTCTTAATTAGTGAACTTTTTTGTAGTATTTCCTAGCCAAGCTGAGATGGTGAACATTCTAAATTGAAGACATTGATTTGAGAAATCACAGATTTTATTTTATTTTTCTTTTTGTGATTGATTCATGAACTTGTATAAAACACAACAGAGATTTGTGAGTTCTTTGTAAATCCTCTGATGTGTTCTAGAAATGTTCTATCAATAAACAATTTAAATGCATTTGGCGGGATGTAATTTCATTCATTTGGCATTTGTTTCTTTTAATTTCTACTGGATTGTTGATGATGAGCTTTTTTGTAGATATTATACTCTCTCTCTATTTAATGCTTTTGCCCAAGATAAAACATACACAGGTAAAATGATGTTGGGATTGAACTTATTGGATTTTTTTCTTGAAGGATGTTGTATTGGGTACTATTATAGATGTGAGGGAATAGTAATCTCACAGAAATATGTGTCTATACAAAGTTTTATTCATTATTGCTATTTTACAAGTGTATTTTTAAAGTTAAATCTTACAAATTTAGTAGTTTAAAAAAAAAAAAATCTATTGAGGCGTTTTTCAAAACGCCACTATAGTTATATTTTTAAAATAACAAAAAAGCTATTGCAACGTTTTTGAAGCGTCGCTGAATGCCTGTGTGATGTCATGTTACCGTTGGCTGCCACATTTAGCGGCGTTCGCTTATAGTAATTTTACGACGTTTTTAAAGCGTCATAAACTTACAGCAATGTTCGCGTCCTCGGCGTTTGGTGGTAAGCGTCACTAAAGGAATTAGTGGCGTTTTTAAGGCATATAGCGGCGTTTTTAAAACGCTACTAAAAGTCGTTTTTCCAGTAGTGATTGGATCTCATGATTCAGGCCCAAAAAATAAAAAATAAAAAAATTCCCATGGTTGAATTTCATGCCTACACTATATGCATGCACTTAATCCAATATCAGATAAATTAAGCCCTTTGGACTAATTAAATAATTTGATTATGGAGATTTGACTGCAATTACTGCATGAACTTAATCCAATATAAAATAAATAAGGCACTTTGGGCTAATTATCCCATTGTGATTGAAGAGATTAATGATATAAAGTGAAATTTCTCTTAAATTACAGGTATAACCTATCTTTTTTTTCCTTCTATGTTTTTTTCTTTTTTTCTTTTTTAGGCAAGTATAACAACTTGTATGCTCAATGACACGTGATTTTCTTGCTTCTTGGGACTCCATAATTCGAAATTGTTAATCTTAGTTTTCCATCATTGATTAATTTTTGAAAAAACATGGGGCATGATCTTGGTATATATGCTGACTAATTCAATTGTAGGGTTTTTTAATACCAAAATGGCAAAATTTTAAACTTAAATAAAAGACAAATAATGAGAGTATAAATAGGAGTGATAAATTATAAGAGTAGCTTGGACTGTTCATGTGCTCACCAGACAATATTATGAGAGCATCACTAAGAATTTATGTTTTATACGACTGGGAAAGCTTTGATAGCACACATGGAACAACTAAGAAACATTTTATCAAAAAAAATTTATTAATGAATTTTATTTATTTAGAATAATTATTAGTTGATCCTATTGATTGAATAAATTTATTTGTTTTCTATGTATTTGTCCCTCGTTTTGGTAATGAATTTGTTTTTGAGACTTTAAATGTGTTTGTAGAATGATCGTTTGGTATTGGTAATGATACTAATAAATTTATTAAAATAATAAATGATTAGAATATTTTAGTTTTTGTTTGTGAGTTATGATTTATTTGTAGTTTATTTGTGTTAATTTATATTGAAATATGATACTTTCTAAATAAAAAAAAAAAAATATTGAAATATGATGTTTGAAGTATAAATAATTGAATTATGTTTTTAAAAAAAACATTTTTATAGTGATAAATTTAACACTGAAAATTGAATAGAATTTCTTGATAAATAAATTTAGTGGCCAATCTATTTTAAATTTACACTATACATTTTACTTTTAATATAAATTTTGAACTACAAATAAACATTTATCAAATAAGATTTATGCAATCCATTAATAAAAACATGGAAAAATGATGACAATGATTATGATAAGGGTGATGATATGAGTGAATATAATTTATACATTGCATAACTTTTGTTGAAAGATACACCTTTAATTTAATCCAACCCCACTGCAAAGATAGGGATATGTTATTTCATCATGTAAGATCAATGGTATAAAGTCTGCCTATAAAGTTGATGGGGGTATAATTATGAAGTAGCATCAATATTATAATAGTGTATAGTGTAAAGTTCATAGGGGTACATTGAAGTAACATCAATATTATAATAGTCTAGAGTGTAAAGTTCATTGGGGTATAATGAAGTAGCATCAATATTATGCTAGTGTAGATGTGATGTATGCTTGAATAAATTTAGTTTTTTTTTTTTTACTTAACATAATATATATCGGTAGGGTTAGTTGTTAGGTAGAGAAAGGACCTCATGTTACACAACCATTAGGGGTATAAAAATGGCTCGAGACTCGTGGATGACCCGAAACTCATCCGAGGTAGACCCGGTCCGTTTTGGCCCGATTAGGCGCGGACCCAAGCCCAGCCCAGTACCTTGGGCCTAGGCCAGTACCTTGGGCCTAGGCCTTCCATTTGAAGCCTGGCCCGACCCACCCCACTCGGCCTTCTCTACCAATGGTTAAATTTCAAAAAATAAAAATAAAAAATAACTTGCAACGGTTAAATAATTAAAAAAATATTTAAAAAAAATATAAACAAACAAAATAAATAAAAGATTGATCAAAATAATTAAATACAAATTAATCTTGTAAAAATAAAAATTTATATAATTAAATAAATAGCATTAATAAATTAAAAATAAAACAAAAAATAATAATAGTTTATTAAATTAAAATCAAACTAATAATAGTTTTATCTTTGGCCGAGAGAGAGAAAGAGAGAGAAACAGAGTGTGATGTGACCCACTGGTACACAGTTACTGTGGCTAGCTGCTATAGCAGCCGAAACAAGAAAGGAGAGAGAGAGAGAAATAGAGTGTGGGAGCCTAGCCTACTCTACTATAGCTGCCTAATCTAGTCTGTCCCGTCCGTCCCTACTAGCCTAGCCAAAATTGGTCTGTTGCATCATCTCATCAATCACTCAACTTAAATGGTAATATATATACAAACTTCACTCTTTCAAACTACTATAAATATTTTTCATTTTTCAAAATAAATCTCACAAATAATTTTCTCTCTCTCTCTCTCTTAAACTCTTTCAATCTCTCTTCAACTCTCAATCTCTCTTAACTCTCAATTAATTTTGAAGTGTTATCTCTAAGTGACAATTGCAATTGTGCAAAAAAAAAATTTTATCAGAAGAAGCTAATTTCTATATCACATTCGTCAGTCGGTAACATTAATTAGTTTAATTAAATTTATTAGCTACTCATTTTTTTATTAATTATTTGTGCACATATATTAATTATTATTATTTACTTATTGTATTTACACATTATTTAAATTAATTGTTAATTCTTATATATTGTTTTACTTACATTACTATGGATCCTAATATTCCTAATGTTTATGTCAATGTTGATACATATACTACACAACATGAATTTGTTAATTCTCCTTCTAATATCCTTCTTCCAACAGTTGAATCATCATCTAAGAGCAGAACTAGTAGTGTTTGGGAACATTTTAAAAAAATATCTATAAATAATCCTGATAGTACAATTACATTTAAAGCAACATGTAAATATTGTGCACAAGTGCTGCATCTGTAGGGGTACTAGTCATTTAAAAAGGTATGTTAAAAAATTTTTACAAAGTTAACAATTTGATATTCAAAGTCAAATGCAATTAGAGGTTTCATAAACGGGTAATTTGCAAACATTTTCATATGATCTTATACATGCACAAAATTATGTAATTGATTATATTATTAAAATAAAAAATAACCTTTTACTACTAGTGAATATCCCGATTTTACTAACAAGGGTTGATTCAGTTGGTAAGGCTCGTTCCCTTCGCCCATTTAGCTTAGGTGCGAGTCCCACTTTCGACAGTCCTTTGTTAGGGGGCGACAATGCGTAACGCTTTCCCTGGTCCTAGAGTGGAGGTAGCCTCCCCTCCTCCTGAAATTTTTCTTGAATAAAAAAAAAAAAAAAAAGAATGTCTCAATTTTACCAAAGTGATTCACGAAAATTTTGCATCGCAATATCAAAGTTTTTCAAAAAATACTACTAGAAACAAGATTTTAAAGAAATTTGAAGACTTTAAAAGTGAATTATTTGATAGAAACAAGATTTTAAAGAAATTTGAAGACTTTAAAAGTGAATTATTTGACATATTTAAAAATTTGAGTAGAAGAGTTTGTTTAACATCAGATTTGTAGTCAAATAATGGTTTTGAATAACAATGTATCACTGCATATTTTATTGATAATGATTAGAAATTAAATAAAAGAATTATTTCATTTAAATTTGTTGAACTTCTATACACTGGTTATTCACTTGGTGTAGAAATAAGAAATGTATTATATGAGTGGCCTTTACAAAATAAAATATTTACAAATAGTTTAGATAATGCAACATATTATAATCAAACTGTAGCCCATTTAAGTCAACTTTACAATTACTTATTGATGGTGATTTATTTTATATTCGTTGTTATGTCCATATTTTAAATTTGATTGTTAAAGAAACTATGCATGTATACAAGATTTTTGTACTTGTAATAAAAAATGCAGTTATTACTATTATAACTTCTGTTAATCAAATTTCAGAATATAGAAAAATTTGTCAACAAGAAAATATGTCATTTAAAAAATTAATTTTAGATGTAAATAGTAAGTAGAATTCAACGTATAATATGTTAAAAATAGCTTGTAAACAAAGAAGAGCAATAAATTTATTTTTTGCAACAACATCAATAGGAGGAGTACTGACTCCTACATAATTTAATTGGTGCCAAATAGCCTTGTATAATTTTTTTTTTAACAGTTTTTGACACTTTAACAAAATTATTTACTTATATATATATATATATATATATATATATTCCTATTTCACCATTTGTTTTATATATGCTAGCAAAAATAATTAAAATTTTCATAAAATATATGGGTAATGAATATTATGTAACAATTATTACTTCAATGAAAGCAAAATTTGATAAATATTTTGATCTTTTGTCTCGTCTTTTAGGTTTACCCATAATAATTGATCCTAGGCGTAAGGAAATTAGTTTACAAGAATTTTTAAAATGTGTTTTCGTTGATCAAACGCAATTTGCCCCTATTTTACAAACATACAACAGATTATTTGAAGAATACAAGGTAGCTGTATCTGTAAATATACCTACACACACTACACTAGCAGTCTTATCTCGAGGAGGAAGTGTTTTTTCGGCAATAAAAAGTAGAAGAATATTTCAACATATAAGCGTAAGTAGTTCTGAATTACAATGTTATTTGGAAAGTCCGTTAATGGATGATTCCGATGATTTTGACATTTTGGAATGGTGGAAACAAAATGAAACTATGTAGCCTGTTGTTTCACAGATAGTCTATGATATGCTAACCGCTCCTATTTCTACAGTTGCTTCGGAAATAGTTTTTAGTATAGGTAGACGGGTGTTGAGCGATTACCGGAACAAGCTTTCACCCCAAATGATAAGGCACTGATGATATCCAGAAATCATATGCATGCGCGCGTACAAGAAGACAAAATTATAGTGAAAAGAAGTGAATTCAAAATGATTTGGATGACATATCCTCGAGTAACGCGACTGAAATGTTTGTTGATTGATCAATAATTTATTTTTTACTAGTTTATTTCATTTCATTTCATTTCATTTCATTTCATTTTTTTTTTTTTTGTATTAGATTATTGAGGTGGAATATAATGCAAATGATTGGTATGCTAGTAGGTGCCAACCTAGTTGGGATGTACTTAACCTATAGTGATGCAATTGCTCTACTATCATCAATAATCTACACCTATTTTATTTAATAATATAAATTTTTGTAATATTTTATTTCATTTTGAAATAAAAATTATTCATTCAATAAATATTATATAATTAATTTAATATTGTAATATTGAAAGTTTTATTTTCATATATATATAAAAAAATTACATAATTGCATACTTTTTTAATTATAAGTTCATAATTAAAAAAAATAAGTCATACATAATTAAATTTAAATACCACAATGAAACATAATAAAAAAAAATCTCATTAATCTTAACTAAAATGTTCTAGTACAATTTTTTTATTTCTAATAAATAATCTACATAGATAATGTATTTATCGTTTATTTATAATAATAAAAAAAAGGACCCGCCTAGGCCCAACCCACGGCCCACGGCCTCAGTCCTATTATGAGTGGGCTTGGGCCTGAGCCCCACTTTTTGGCCCATGGTCTGACCCGCTAAAAAAGCAGAAGCCTATGAGGCCTGGATAGGCTAGCCCGAGCCCAGGTCTGGATGGGCCGGGCTAGACCATTATTATATCCTTAACAACCATCAGGTGAAAAACTTTGGTTGTGTTTGGAGCAGCTTTCTGAAACTAATTATACCCTTACATTCTAATGTTATGTTTGGTTGACATTTTCAAATCATGATTCCAAATCAATTTCAAAACACATTTTGAAAACACGTTTCGTAAACCAGACATTTTTTTGAATTTTTGGCCTACCCAGTTGTCCGCCTACATGTCTAGCCAGTTGAATGGAAAAATACTTCTTTTTTTTTTTTTGGCAATTGCCAATCACCAATCGCCTCCTTTTATTTTGAAAAAAAAAAATTATATTTGTTTTTGATATTTTTTAAATATAGAAATTAATTTTTTAGACCAAAATGACAAATTATTTTTTGAGTTGAATTTTAAAAAGAGTTTAGTTATGAGTTTTGAATAAAATTCTTAATAAAGTTTTGAGTTGTGTATTTGGTTGTGAGTTATAAATTTTTGAATTAAGTTTTGAAAACTTTTTTAAAAACTTATAACCAAACAACTTTTCTCATTTCATATGTCACATCAAAAATTCAAAATTCAATTCAAAACTCATAACTAAACAATTTTTTTTTTCTTTTCATATTATAATTCTAAAATTCTACAAAACACTATATATCTTTGATTCGGAATATATTTAAATTATTTATTTAATTTTTTAGAAGAATTTTGGGATAATTTTTTTTTTTTTTGGGTGGTAGTATTATTGTATTACCAACAATCAAGTTTTGCCAATGTCTTAAAACATTGAGTATATCACAATTAGCTTGTCCAAAATACTTGATGTGGTTTTCATTATTTCAAGAAGAGATGAATTGCTATCGATTATGGTAAATAAGAAAAATGCATGGGAGCACTAATTAGTGCTCCCACTAATTAGGTGGCAGTGGGTCCCGTCATTAATGATGTGATGTTTTGGTCTTGGAGTTGTGTTTTTTTTTTTTTTTTTACTTTTTTAATGCATTAGTGCTATTAGTGGTGATATTTTTAGTGGGATGAATCATTGTTGGGTAAATAATAATGGGAGTGTCAGAATGATAAGTGTTCAAATTCGAGTGATGTGATCATGAATTTTTATAAAATCATTAGTCGCGAAATATGTTTTATAAGAGTTGAATCAGTTATGAATGAGGTTGTAAATCAATTATGAATCTATATATGTTACAAATATGACGATAGGTATATGTTTTTTCTATTTTCATTGTCAAGCCGAGATGTATCGATATAGGAAGGCCAAAAAACTGATACATTTTATTAGCAGAATAACGAAATTTTAGATAGTATTTGGTAGGGTTTTAGAATTATCATTTGAGAATGAAATTGTGTTTTGAGTTTGTGAGTTTTAGAATTATGATTCGAAAAGAGAAAATTTGTTTAGTTATGAGTTTTGAAAAAAGTTTTAAATTTTTGATGTGACATATAAAATAAGAAAAATTGTTTTGTTATGAGTTTTGAAAACAATTTTCAAAATTTAATTGAAAAACTTAAAACTCATAACCAAACACACATCTTAAAACTCTATTGAAAATTTTATTCAAAACTCAAAACCAAATTCTTTTTAAAATTCAATTCAAAAAAATAATTTGTTATTTTGGTCTAAAAAAATATCAAAAACAAATATAATTTTTTTTCCCCCCAAATAACAGGTGGCGATTGGCAAAAAAAAAAAAAGAAAGAGAGAGAGAGAGAGTATTGTTCCAGTTAACCTGTCGGATGATCGGGTAGACCAAAAATTCAAAAATTATTTGCTTTACCAAACATGTTTTTAAAATGTATTTTGAAATTGATTTGGAATCATGATTTGAAAACTCAAACCAAACATAACGTCCGGATGTAAGGGTAGAATTAATTTTAAAAGACTCTAGCAAACACAAAATGTTTCTATTAAAATACACTACAACACCAGAAGTGTAAAAATGGCCCGCGGCCCGTGAGCGGTCCGAAGCCTGTCCTTGGCCTGGGGTGGGCCCGACTCACTCAAGGCTTGGCCCGGCCGAGGTCCAGTGTTTTTTTTAATAAAAAATAATAAAATTTTGATAGAAAAATAAAAAATAAAAAATAAAAAATAAAAAAATTTGTTTAAGCCTGCTCTAAGCCTGAGCCCGGGCCCAAGCCAACCGGATCGCCCAAGGCCCGAATAACCCTTGGGCCTAATTTTTTGACTCGTGACCCAGCTCAAATTTTGACAGGAGCCTGTGAGACCGACATGGGCCGAGCCAGACCAAATTTACACCCCTCCCAATATCTGGTAACTTCATGATCTATAACTCGTCTTTGTTCTCAGAAATTAAGAAAAGAAAACTGTTAATTTCATCCTTAAATACTGCCAAACCATGAGAATTTCGATTACTATCTCCGTCCCCCCCCCCCTGATTCCAAATCAATTTCAAAACACATACATTGTCTCGACAATAGAATGTGAAAACAAAGGATCTTGATTCAGTGCTCACCAGTTCAAAATGATCTGTATTATACATATAACATTTTGTATACAACTCATTGGTGTACTTAAAATATAACAGTATGATAGAGGAATCAACAGAAGATTAAACAGCAGAACACAACAAAATTTGAAAATGAATTTGAACTGTCATGTGACAATTCAACGAACTGTCACCAAGCAATTAAGACTCATGCTGACAAATCTAAAGACAAATCGCTAGAATTTTTGGCCCCGCGTTAAGACAATTCCATCAAAAGATCCTAATCAATTTCCACAAAAGTAAAGTTTCTCGAGAGATTTTCCTCTCATTTCTCCAAAAAAAAAAAACCAAAAAAAAAAAAACATGTTTCTTATTAACATAGACTACAACAATTCACAGTGACTTTTCCCCTAAAAATACAAGGCATTTTGCAACAACAAATACAAAAAGAGAAAGTAAGATTGGAATTACACTTCATACTAATTAGCATCCCAACTGGAAAATAAATAAATTTCTGTCAATTCCTTTCGCTCGCGCTTCTATTGATGGACCACAACTTACTGAACATTCTTTTAGGCCGACCAGGAATCGAACAAAGCGCTTTAACTTTCGATTGTTTCCCAATTCCATCAGAGTAATTCTCCTCCAAATCATCATCCTCAGCCAGCTTCATCCTCAAAGTTGAAAGCTTCGATTTTGGTGATTTGAGACCAGAGATGCTCCACTGATCCTCTGCTTGAGCTGTCGCATTGGTGCTTAGCGATGCTGTAGGCCTCCTCGAGTCATCATTTGCAGCGAGAAGTGCTTTAATGTTGCTAGGAAGCTCGGTCATCTGGCCACCAGCCATGGCAACCCTAGCTTGCTCGAAGAAGAGGACTTGCACCACTACCCTCAGTGGCAGCATCTCGTTTTGAGCTGCGTGCATGCACGCTTCCATTGACAGCTTCTTGCAGTCTAGAATTCGACACAAACGCTTTCTTTCACTTTTGTTGAGGTCCGGGTGTGCCTGGAATAAGGGTAGTAGTGTCATTTTATACGGGTAAATTTTACATCTCTAAATAAGTTCTTCTAGAGGCGAATATATTCCAAGAAAATGCGACACAAGCACAAGATTTGGAGACCATTCAATGTGTGACATTCCAAAATAGAAAAAAAAAGGAACATAATTGCATGTTCGTTCATACATAAATGTTAAACTGCTAGTATATATTGACTTTATTCTTCGACTTTTTTTTAAAAATGTGAATATTCATATTGTCAAATTTCTGATTATTGAATGTGTAGAACTAAGTGAAAGTCAAGTAATAAAAAATCTTGAATCTAGTTAGTTGCCAATTAAATTACCAAACCCTAATAACTACCAAACATTGAGTATGACTAATAGGATCCAAAGGTCAAGGGAGTTGGTTATCTACTAAAATGATGGTGACCCACATTCTAATTTCAAACCATTGAAATGTGTCGGTTATCTACTAAAATGATGGTGACCCACATTCTAATTTCAAACCATTGAAATGTGTCTTGAGGATATTTTTTGCTTTTAATTTTAGAGTCACGGGGATTATGAAAGGAAGGATATCAAAATCAAACCAGAAAAACAAAAACAAAAACAAAAACAATGACATTTTAAAAAATTATAAAAAAAAAAAAAAGAAAAGAAAAAGATCAGAAAAGATCATATGGTATTATACTCCAAATATCAGTATTATATTATTACCTTGAGATAAATATCAATTGCTCTGTATAGATCATCATGATCAAGCCTTGCAAAGTCCGGTAAGGCCTCGGCTAGTCCAATGAATTTTGACAGCGGCAAATTCGCATCTCGAGCTATGTCATGAAGATACCCGTCCACAAGCTTCGCCACCTTGAGTTTCGAGCTATGGGACGCGGAAGAGGACCTTCTACTCTCTTGAAACTCATAATCGACGTGCTCAGCTGAGCGAGACCGCCGCCTCCTCTCAAAACCGTCCTTGGTTCGCGGGGGACTAGTTGGAGGGCTCTGCCCCTGTAACATGAATTGTTCCAAAATAGTCATGACTATGTCCACATCATAAACTGTGTCAATTGTGCGCGACAAAGAGGGAATCAACAAGTCCCCGACTTTCGCTTCCTCTAATTGAATTCCAACTCTCCGAGCCAATTCCATTTTCGAAGAAGACGAGGCGTTAAGTATATTGGCTGCTTTCAAGAGTTTAAGCAAGAAACTGCACGAAACAGCACCTCTCTCCGGTGGGAGTAGGCTTATAATGGATTCCAAAAGCAGCCTATGCTTTGAAGTCATATCCCCAAACCCAACTGTGTCCGAGTCTGGGTCTGAGTCTACTACTTGCTTGTAGTCTTTTGAAATGTTAGGTAGCCATCGCGACGCATAAATTCGCAATGCGTCTCCCACGAGGTTCGAGGGTATTTTCCCACCGGATTTGATTGCTATAACAGTCCTCCAATATAGGTCTATCCCCAATTCTGCCACATCTTCAGCCCACCACCCTTTTGTCATAAGTTTGCTATGCCTCTGGCTCTCTCCCCCGTTGCATGATGCATCGTCCCTACCCCTACGCGAATGACTATGCGACAAGTTCACTTTCGAGGGATGGGCTAAAACTTTCGAAGCAATCGCTTCAATGCACCGGCTCGTGATTCCAAGCTCCTCGGACCACGAAGGGAACGCTTTCGTGCTTTGTAGCGTTGCGATTGAGTCCTTCCAACCGTGAAGTATGCAAGAATTGAAGAAGACTTCAAGCTTGTAAACTAGGTTCCCCTTTTCGACATCCTCGGTCATTTGGAGGTACTCAGCAGCACACCTGGCAGATACAATGTTGTAGGCACTGAGTGTGATTGTGATGCCATAGCAGAACTTAGCACACAATTCGAATGCCTCGATGCCGCCAGGGAAATCAGGGAGTTGGACTATTTGGTGGTGTTGGGAGTCTGGGCTTTCGGAGCACAGCCTCTGGAGCCGCAAGCACTTGGAAAGCAGGGGAAACTGCAAGAAAAAAAAAACACAAAAACACAAAGACAAAACTTGTCAAAAATTAAGCAACACCAGAGACATCATTCAAATGAATTGCAAGATATATCAAGATTTAACCTTGTGAAGCAAATATCTGCTTCCCTTGACTTGGACTATGAGATCACTAGAGACTTCTGAGGACACTGACCTACATTAGCACAAGTAAAACCATGTTACCCTTTACATCATATGATGCTTAAATTATGTCCAAAAACAAAAACAAAAGCAAAAACACAAAAAACAAAAAGAAAAACATCATGTTTCCAGTGAATTTCTTACCTTACAGCGTCAGTAGTGTAGAAAGTATCAGGCCGAGAACCGAGTTTCATAAACTTCATGTTTGAGTCTTTTCTTTTTCTTCTTCTGAACTTTCTCTGATTACCAGATTTTCATCCTATTAAGAACACTTGAGTTCCTGTATTTAATTTTCTTGACTCAGAAACCCAAGAGAAAATAAATCAACCCAACAAACTAGAAAGAGGGGGGAGAGAGAATTTTCATGGAGGAGAGAGAAAACCCAAGAAACACTTCCAATTACTTACTTGTGTGATATATAAAATTTATATAGAACGATAGATACCCAGAAGATCAAAAACTCCAAAATTCAATGTCATCTCAGTCAAATTCTAGACCCCATTTTGATCAGGACATGAAAATGAAGAATCAAAGCCACACCAATCCCATCAAGATCATCAATATTATACCCAAAAACAAGTCAATCAAACAAAACATTCCCCCTATTATGTCTTATCCCCCCCAAAAAAAAAAAAAGAAAAGAAAAGAAAACACTAGACCACACTAAAACAACCATATGGGTGTGTGATGAAATTAAAAATTACTCAAATTAGAAAGAGATAGATAGAGAGAGAGAGTATAATATATAAGGAAACATTCTAAAGACTAAAAAGCAACCTTAAAAAACTCAAAATCATTCGCCGGAAAAACAGAGATGAAGAACCCAAACTGTGACGTTTTGTGAGGTTATGAGGTTTGGGTTCAGTTCGGTGTGCCAGCGTGAAGGCAATGAGAGAAAGGCGACGCCCACGTGCTTATCCTGCGCCCACTTCTGTCTTCCTCCCACTCATGATCATTGCCATTTCTCCATTCTTATTCCCTTTGGAAATTTTTATTCTCTCTCTCAAATTTTCTGTAATGTTCACCCCGGATTATTTTAGTCAAACCCTATTTTATACCTAACATCGTACGCCGCTCTGCGCTTGATGCTTATTAATATAAATGGAAATTATGTTGAAAAAATTATTACAAATATTTTATAATTAAAGTTAAGGAAAATTTACTCATAAGTCCTAGTTTTTGAAACGTTGAACCATTTAATCTTAAAAGTTTTCTTATGCTCCATTTAGTCCCATTTTTACATCAACATGATGTGAATGATGTAAATGATCTGATGTTTCATTCTATAATTTCAAAATTTATTGAAATCTGATGAACATTAGATGTTTTTCATCCTATATTTTCAAACATTATTGAAATTTGATGAACATTAGATGTTTGAAATCCAATGTTTGTAACATGACTCTGATATTATTAACATTGTATCTGATGTTATTAACATTGTAATGGGACCTTTCAGTCTATAAGAAAACTTTTAGGACTAAACAGTGCATAAGTTATTAATTTTGAAAAAATTATTACAAATATTTTATAATTAAAGTTATTAATATTAATAAAATTTATCATTAATTTATAATTATTTTTAAAATTTTACACTGAAATGCAACTTTCCTTTAATATAACCCATTATGGATATAGGGTAATATTTAAAAGGAAATTTAGTTAAAAATAAATTATATAAGTTTAATATATACCGTGCAACTCATTGGGCTCTTGTGAGAATATTTTAATAATTTAAATCGTTTATTATAAGATTTGTCAAACTCATTATTTATATAAAAAATTAAATTAATTAGATATGTGTAATTTTTTAGTCAAATTCTAACTATTTTAAAAATTATATTAATATATTATTATTAAAAATTAGTCAAATTCTAACTATTTTAAAAATTATATTAATATATTATTATTAAAAAGATAAATGTGGTATTATTTTACGGTCATAGATGGGGCATTTGGAAAGAAGTTAAAAAAGTTATTTTTTTTGATTTTTTAGCTTTTTTAATAAAAAAAAGTCAATGTTTTAGCCAAAGAAGTCATCTTTTTTGCCAAAAAAGTCATAAAAAAAGTCAAAAATTCAAAAAATTAATTTTTTACCAATTTCTCAAAACACTGTGACTATTTGTACCAAAAAACCATTTAGTACGCTTAATTTTTCAGTATTCCTTATTAATTGTTTAGAGTTATAATTTACTCTCAATACACCATTATTTATATTTTTTTTTACAAATTATCTTTTAAGGTACACTCAAATAATAAACAAATTAAAAATCATAAATTACAATACTTTAAAAAGCCCTTTGAAGGGATCAAGAGTACTCTTCATGATTTCGGAGCAGCGAAGTGTTTGGATGGAAGAGGTCCCAGCCTCTCTTCTTTCTTATGTTTTGACTGATAGAATAGTAGTTGTGTAAACTGTTTGGCTCATACTTCTCATGAAATAAGAATATTAAAAAAAAATCTTTTCTATTATTATTTTTATTTATTGTTTGATTTTGTTTAAATTTTATTCTATTTGAAAGTAACAATACAATTAAAAAAATAATAATAATATTGATGATAATAGTGAGTTTGGGTGTGCTGGATTGGAGTTTTGAAATGAGAAATAAGATGAAAAAAAAATAATTGAAGATCGGAAAAGAATATGAAAATACTTGAATATGAACAATATATATAAGTGATTAGGATGTACAGTGAGAAAAAAATATATTTTATATTAGGGTTTAATGTGTATTATCCTTATTTTTGTTTAAATTTTATTCTATTTGAAAGTAACAATACAATTAAAAAAAAAATAATAATATTGATGATAATAGTGAGTTTGGGTGTGGTGGATTGGAGTTTTGAAATGAGAAATAAGATGAAAAAAAAATAATTGAAGATCGGAAAAGAATATGAAAATACTTGAATATGAACAATATATATAAGTGATTAGGATGTACAGTGAGAAAAAAATATATTTTATATTAGGGTTTAATGTGTATTATCCTTATTAGTAAATTTATATTATGATATAATAAGAATTAAAATTTCAAAATTTTAATTAGGCTTACTAAGTTATTATTTAGGTAATAGGCTGACTTTCAATTAATTTAATTTTTTTTTTATAAATAATTTTCTTAACAAACTTTATAATATAAATAATTCGAATCAATCAATGAGATGAGCTTGGAACAAGGGTCCAATAGATTGCACAGCACCGTGATGTGCCTCCCCAATCCCGTTTAAACCTACATACTTCAAGTTGCATATACATAGGATCGGGATTTGAGTAAAAAAAATATTTTTTAAATAAGTGAAAAAGTAAAAGATATTTTGTATTCAATGAAAATTTTATTTGATTTCAATAAAAAATTATATCATTTTTATTTTTTTTATTTTTTCTTGTGTTGAGTATTGGTTAACAAGATTATATATATATATATATATATACATTAGAAATGGGAATAGTTACATATGAAGGGTTGATTTTGAATGAATAGTTTTTAAAATTTTAATCGAGGTACGTGTAAATTGATTCAGACGTTCGTTTATCAAAAAAAAAAAAAAATGTTGGCCTTGTTTAGTATTGTTTATAGTTGTCTATAGTTTTTTTCTTTTTTAAAAAAAAAAAATTGTGTCAAAATATTTTGTGCTACTTCTGTTGATAATTTATAATACAGAAATGAATTGAATAAATTGAAAAAAAATAATTATGTAGAAATTGGAGAGAAATGCTTTTATTTTCTACCTTCTAATTATCGATTTTCAATTTGAGAAAAGCTCAATCACATTGGTACTAAAACAAATAAAAAAAGTTCCAACAAAATATAATTTTTGTTGGATAAATTTTAGAAATTAAAAAAAAAAATTGTTACATAATTATAAAAACAACAATGCCTATATAGAAAAAACATTGTATTGTGGAGATACATTTCATATGTGGATCATAATATTTAAAAAATAAAAATAAATTTGAATATGCAGTACACATTCTAGTGAGCATAAATTTCTTGACATATGTTTTGAGTTTCTATTTATTTTATTTTATTTTTTTCAGAAAAAGTATCAATGCCAAAAAAGAATCAATAGAAATTGACTTCACTTTATAAAATAGTATAAATATATTTATTAAAAGAATATAAAAAAGTTGTATAGTTGGGGATAAAAGAGATGCTTAAAAAGAGGAGCAGGATGTATATATCACTATCAACGATGGGCTTTTTCTCGCCCACGGCCTATACGGAAAACTATACACAGTCCACATAATATATAAATGGCCCAAATGAAGTTGCCCTTGTTTTTCACCATAATTACAAGATTACTTTGATGTTGCATTATTTATGGCATGAGGACCATGGCCAGTGAAGAGGGTCCATTGCTTGTGTGAAAGAAGGAAAAAACCCTACTTTTGATCTTTATTTTTTAAGTTCAGATCCAAAAATTATTTTTTTAAAGCATAGAATGATGTTAGTCTGACGTATCGGCCGAAAAGCTTTGTTTAATAGATTTGTTTTCTAAATAAAAAAATTAAATTATTAATTTAGCAGTTGAAGGTCTTTTTCAATTGGTTTTTCTTGCTTTGGATTCTCTTATTAATAATCTTTTGATTATTAAGTGTATTATTATGATGATGGCAATGGTACAAATGAAAGGATGGTTATTTAGAGCGGGCCAGGTCCATGGGTTGATATTTGATCAACAAAGCTAGGAGTGATGAACACATTGATGTTAAAGTTTGAGGCTTTTTTACATTTATCTTCTTATATATGCAAATATCTTTAGTATTTCGGATAATTATCACCAAAATAGTTACTGTATATTTTTTAAAGACATCTAGTTTGATTATCAATTTACGAATGTCTGATTAATTTAATTTTATTAGATGAATAATTTTTAAGATAAATTTTATAAATTGAATGATTCTCATCACCAAAATAGACCTACAGGTGGCTTACAACTAGCTCTCCATAGCTACTGCCACCATTGAGTTTTTTGAATGCTTGTAGCCTGCATTGAGTGAAAAGTCGATTGAGTCAGAATTCAATATTGATTGGTGAAAATTTAAAATTGCGAATATTATAGGAAAGTAAATGAAGAATTTATGAAAGAAAATTTGTATTACATAATAATAAGACTCGAATTTAAACATTACAACATATTATTTTTTATTTTTATTTTTATTTTTTCACTAGTGATCGAAGTCAAACTTGATTAATTATCTCAAATTTGGTATTCATATCATATGATAATGAAGCGTGCTTTTGGAGAAGAAGAAAATTTAATCTTTTCCTATAAGCAAAAGTGGTAGCTTCAATCATTAATGTCCTCTTCACATACATTCTATACCACTGTTAAATTTGAATGGCTGCAATAATTAGATTGGGATGATCTCTAATCATCACATTGCAAACTCCTTAAAAAAATCAAAAAAAAAAAAAAAAAAAAAAAAAAAAAAAAAAAGAAAGAAAGAAAGAAAAGAAAGCATAGACTATTGGGGATAATGTTGTCAATTTGCAAGAACCCTATTAATGTTCACAAACTAGTTAATAGCCCCTAAAAGGCAAGGACAGTTGGGAAAAAATAGTGAATTGATTTATGTTAGAAGAGGGGTTAGTCTTGCATTATTTGCTAGGCAGTCATAAGGAGTGCCCCACTTGGAAAACCTACTGTTAATATAGTTAGACACAATTGATTAAAATGTGCAACAAACAGTTACGCTACGTGTACAGATAAAAATTAAGACTAAGATCTCGTTTGGGAACCCTCTTTTTTAGTTAAAAAGTTAAAAAATTATTAAATTAGTCAAAAAGCTAACAATCTATACTAAAAAGTCAAAGATTCTTTTTTTTCTTTACTTTTTGCACATCTTTTCATAAAAAGTCAAAAAGTCATCCCAAACATACTAATTTTTTTTAGCTCATATTTTAGCTATATAGCCAAAAAATTACTAAATTAGCCTGTTGCCAAACGAGGCCTAAGTATATCTGTTATTTTTATAATTTATATTTTATGTCAATTTAGTTTTTGTAAGTTTAGTTATATTAAATTTATTTTTGAAATCATCACATTACATC